AGATTTTTATATGTCCACTCAGGTGGACAGTATGCGTTCAGGGTTTGAACTGAAAAGATGTACATTTGGAAAAAATGATAAATAAAGATGTGCAAACTTAAAATTACATTATAATAACATAAGTATATTGATTTACGGCGCAAAAAGATATTGCAGATGAAATATTTTCAAGAATAACCAGGGCCAGGGGCCAATTTGAGGCCCCACGCACAGTTATTTGATGAGTGCTAGTGGAGCCTCGCAGCGGCGAAACCGTGCCGCGCCACCCTAATTGCGACACATAAGCGCATAGGTGCGCCTCAGATGAGGCCCCCCTCCGCAAGGTGTGGCCCCCTCCACAAGGTGAGGCCCCACACAGTCTGCGTGATCTGCCTGTAGGGAGGGACGGCCCTGGGTACAGCAGCAGCAGTACCAGTATGAATTGTAGTTTAAATATAGCCAGTGATGCATGACGTCCACTGTAGTGGACAGGTGGTTAATCATGATTTCCTGCAAACATAAAATCAAACCTTTGATAATTTATGAATTATATGATTCCTTAGTTGTTACTTGATGTCACCACATTTTTCATACCTGCAGGGAGCGCTTTCCATGAAAGGATTGGCAAGATATAGATGGGTGACATGGTCCATGTGGCTTTCTGTCGTCCATCTTGGTTTAGAGACATGTATCATGCACTTACACTGACTTTCCACTGAGTAGCAGTGTATGGGATGATGCAATAAGGTCCTATGTAGTGGCTGATGGTGCAACTATGCAAAAAAAAACAATGCATATACAAGAAAACACCTTTTGAATAGCTGTCCACTGTAGTGACCTCTATGCATGAAAGGGATAAGCAATTTAATATAATAAATAAATCTGAGAAATAAAAGTAAAAAGGTGTGGCTATATTAAAATAGATACAAGTATTAGTTATAATAAGATATTAATGCTGAATTGGGCCTTAGTACAAATTCATTTTAAAGATATTTATTGAATTGCTGATTGCAAATTAAAAACTATAAAATAATGTTGACACTTTTTAAATACCTGATGCTTAAAATGATTTGAAAACATAATGAAACTCAACTGAATCCGATAGTGAGTATATGATATATAAATGTTGCTTATTTGATGCAGGGATGAAAAGTAACTAAGTACATTTAAGCTATTAAAGTGCACTGTTGTCGTACTTGATCACCTCCATTTTCGGCTACTTTATACCTCTACACGACTACATTTAAGAGGCCTTTAACTAAATGCATTTAAATTATGCATTTATTTAATTTGCAGATTCAAATTCAAATGATATACAAAGTTAGAGTTAATTGACCCATAGGGGACACAAGAGTAAAAGTAATTAAAATAAGCCCCACCTCTCTAAGTGATGCTTATACAACAGTACCAGTCAAAAGTTTGGACACACCTTCTCATTCAATAGTTTTTGTTTATTTTAATATTTTTCTACTTTGTAGATTAATACTGAAGACATCAAAACTATGAAACAACACATATGGAAACAAAAAAGTGTTAAAAAATCCAGAATATGATTTTTATTTTAGATTCTTCAAAGCAGCCCCCTTTTGCCTTGATGAGAGCTTTGCACACTCTTGGCTTCTCTCAGTCAGCTTCATGAGGTCGTCACCTGGAATGGTTTTCAATTAACACGTGTGCCTTGTCAAGAGGCAATTTGTGGAACTTGCCTTCTGAATGTGTTTGAGACCATCAGTGTTGTGCAGAGGTAGGGTGATGCTCAGTGGAAAGCCCTATTTGACTACTGTTGTAATCCATATTATGGCAAGAACCACTCAACTCAGTAAAGAGAAACGACCGTCCATCATCACTTTAAGAATTGAAGGCCAGTCGATCCGGAAAATGTCAAGAACTTTGAATTTATCCTCAAGTGCAGTCGCAAAAACCATCGAACGTTATGATGAAACTGGCTCTCATGAGGACCCCCCGGGAAAGGAAGAGCAACAGTTACCTCTGATGCATAGGATAAATACATAAGAGTTACCAGCCTCAGAAACCTCAAATTAAAGCACGTCAGATTAGAGCCCACATCAATTATCACAGAGCTCAAGGAGCAGACAAATCTCAGCATTCAGATTGTTCAGAGGAGACTGCGTGAATCAGGAATTCATGGTTGATTGATGCAAAGGGCCACTACTGAGGATGAACAACAAGAAGAAGAGAATAGTTTGGGCCAAGAAACACAGAATGGACATTAGACCAGTGAATTTTGAATGAGTCCAAATTTGAGATTTTTGGTTCCAACCGCGGTGTCTTTGTGAGACGCAGAGAAGGTGAGCGGATGGTTTCTGCATGTGTGGCTTCCACCGTGAAGCATGGAAGAGGAAGTGTGATGGTGGGGGAGCTTTGCTGGTGGCACTGTTGGTGATGTATTCTAAATTCAAGGCACACTTAACCAGCATGGCTACCACAGCATTCTGCAGCGCCATGCCATCCCATCTCGTTTGCTCTTACTGGGACCATCATTTGTTTCTCAACACACAATGACCTCAAACACAGCTCCAGGCTATGTGAGGGCTATTTGACTAAGAAGGAAAGTGATGGAGTGCTGCGTCAGATGACCTGACCTCCACAATCAACCGACCTCAACACAATTTGAGATGGTTTGGGATCAGTTGGACCGCAGAGTGAAGGAAGAGCAGCCAACAAGTGCTCAGCTCCTCTGGGAAGTCCTTCAAGACGGTTTGAAAACCATTCCAGGAGACGACCTCCTGAAGCTGAGAGAAGCCAAGAGTGTGCAAAGCCTTTCATCAAGGCAAAAGGGGGTTACTTGGAAGAATATAAAATATAAATCATATTCTGGATTTTTTAACACTGTTTTGTTTACTAGAGAATTCCATATGTGTTCTTTTATAGTTTTGATGTCTTCAGTATTGATCTACAATGTAGAAAAAACATCTAATAAATAAAAACCTTCGAATGAGAAGGTGTGTTCGGACTTTAGACTGGTACAGTATATTATTGTGTTATAATTTAATAGCCTATAATATATTGCATAAAATGAGACATTCTGCATAGTGACTTATTTTACTTTTGATAATTTAAGTATTGTTTGATTCTATGGTATCAAACAATGCAAATAACAGCAGTGTTAATCTTTTGTTCCCTGTATAAAGACAGATTTTATATGTGCTGCTGCTGCCCTCTAGTGCATGAAAACACAAAATGTTTATAAAACTGGGATTTGTGTGTGAGAAAGTATGTTTTTGTCTGGACTACCTCGGGGATTTTCATTTCCTGTAGTTGTCTGCACAGTAGTGTGGGAATATAAGGACGTGGTATTACTCTGTAAGAAACTTTAAAAAAAAAAGAAAAAAAAGGGTATAATAATAATTCACAATGCTTATCGAGTGAACCACATTTACCATGTAACTAAAGGTCCTCATCCATTATAATTATAATTTAAATATGTGGCCTTGGTCGAGTGATAAATGGTTTACGTGTACTGTTTCCAGACAACTTCCAGATGTTGTACATCAAACATTATATGCATACTAAACATTGACATCAAGGGTAGGGTAGATAGGTACATATAGAACAAAAATATATATATATGGAAATAATGAAAGAAATATAAAGAAAATAGGGATAAAAAAAGGTACAATTTCAACTAAAATATGTATCAAATACACATTTGCTTGTTAACAGACACTTGTGAAAATGTAATATTTCTTATTTTTTAAGCTTTGTTTATCTTTATGTCTTTTGTCCCTGTTTACTAGCCGTACAGCATCCTGCCGTCGTCACGTTCTGCGCTCCTACGTCACGGATTTGCCCACGTGCAGATGTTTATGCTCCTCGTGCACGTCTCCAGGGGACAGAGCTATTATACATCCATGGGATGATGGGACAGAGGCGGAAAGAAACTGCGACTTGAAGAAAGCAGAATGAGAATAGAGGAGAACTGACAAATAATGTATTTTAAGACATTCAATTACAGAATTAGAAAACAAAATAATGCAGATTAATGTTAAGCATTGCATTTGCCTGACGTTCGGTTTGATAAACTCTCCAAGTAAAGGGACAATTGTGCTGCCTTCAGGGCCTATGGAAAAAAATGTTTTTATGAGAGTTTACTTACTAGCACGAAACATGTCTTACCTTAAAATTGTGATTTGAGAATGATGTATTTCGCATACATCAAATATGAATGATTTAACTATAACATTTATTATAATCCTTCAAAACAAAAGTCAAGATGTTACACAACATTTAAACTGTACATACATATATTTCATTGTGATAGCACTTTACTTAACAATATTACAAAGTGATTGTATAATAGGCTATTATAAAACAATATTATTGTTTCCCAGAGGTGGAAAGAGTACTCAGATGTTATCTTATGTACAAGTACAAATACTACATTGTAAACATACTTTTACAAAGTCCTGCATGCAAAATCTTACATGAGAAAAAAATACAAAAGTATTAGCATCAAAATATACTTGAAGTACCAAAAGGGCAGATTGGCCCATTAAAGAATTATATATATTACTTGTTTTGATTATAATTATTGGTGTGCAATACTGTGTTTATCACAGCTGGTAAATGTATAGCTAATTTTAAATCCTGTTTATACTGCAGGGTAGCATGTGGATTTTCTCCAGGTGTGACTAAAGTCTGATTTAAGTGTTGTTTAAATGTCTTATGATTATTCCAAATCTGAAAAGTAACTAAAGGTATTAAATAAATGTGGTGGAGTACACCATTTAGCTCTGAATGGTAGACTTGAGTACAGTACTTGGGTAAATGTACTTAGTTCCCTAACATCAATATTATACTATGTTGTACAACAGTATTATTTTGTTTCATCACGTTCATTTCACAATTACAGTGGCTTCTTTCTCCAACACTATCATTTGCTATTCAAATCATGAAACATGAACGCAACACTGAGAGGGGGGAGGGGGTGCACTATTTAAATCCCTCCCCGGATTTGTCAAACGCACGCACGCACGCACCTTGTCTTGCTTGTAAACAGAAGCTCACACGTGACACCGTCGCGCGACCGCATTGTCTGCAAGCGGACAAAGAGCAACGGTTAGTTATCGCCGAGAAACGGGCAGGTGGTGTCATGACAACAACGGACATTATGGATCTGACTTTCCTCAGTGGTTTGCGCCGCTGTGTGCGAGATCGTACGGCCGCTTGAACTTCTTTAATGTCTGGATCCCAAATCCGGCCGTGTGGAGGGATAACGACGTTGGCTGCGGTGTTTTTTCCAGCTCACACGCAGCTGGCAGCGGGTAAACAAAGCTGGACCGCCTTTGTTTCCCTTCTTAATTTACCTAGTTGGAGGATTCACTTCACCTGCGTCAAATCTTACTTTTCCAGCTAACGTAAGCTAACTGTTAGCGTCGACATTAGGTTTTTTTTTAATTTATTTTTAGCTAATCTCTTTTTTTTACTGGCTGCATGAGATGTCATTCACGATGGAGGATAACTTGGAGTCCGAGTGGGTGTCCGTCAGACCGAGAGTCTTCGACGAAAAAGAGAGGCATAAATTCATCTTTATCGTGGCCTGGAACGACATCGAGGGAAAGTTCGCCATAACCTGCCACAACAGAACCGTCCAGAGGCGGAGTACCGTGCTGTTGGACCCTTTCATGGACCTTCCTGCCCCCGGTACTTCCGTGGCAGAGAAACACACAAAAAGTAAGAAAGATGAAGCGTGCCAAGCGGGTAAAGTAAGACCACACACTTTACCCAAAACAAAGACTGTTATTGGTGACAAAAACGCTCTAAAACCCGTCTGTTCAAAGACCGAGTGTGTCAGTCCCACACAAGGGTCCTGGGATATTGTGACACCGAAAGTAATAGATATCGAGATCCTGGACCCCGTGGATGTGCCGCTTTCCCCGGATGATGCTGACCTAGGGGACTGTGAGAGCAGCGGCCGGGAGGACTTCAGCTGGGCCGGGCTGTTCTCCTTCCAGGACCTGAGGGCAGCGCACCTCCAGCTGACCGCCGTCAACTCGGACTTGGAGCCGTGTTTACCCTCCTTTCCCGAGGAGCAGTCCGGTGTGTGGTCGGTGATATTCGGAGCCCCAGGTGTGTCCCAGCGGGAGACAGACGCCCTGTGCTACCAGCTGCAGGTGTACCTGGGCCATGCCCTGGACACCTGCGGCTGGAAGATCCTCTCCGAGGTGCTTTTCTCCGAGAGCGAAGACACGGAGGAGTACTACGAGAGCCTGAGCGAGCTGAGGCAGAAGGGCTATGAAGATGCTCTGGAAAGGGCCAAAAGACGCATGCAAGAGGTGAATTCACATATTCTTTAATGCACTTGTACTGTTCTTAAGTTCAATTCTGAAATACTTGTTCTCTACCTGAGTGTGTCGATTACCTGCTACTTTATACTTCTACTAAACTGCAAGTCAGATCCAAATATTCCAGTTTATTTTACTCCCCTACATTATTTTACAACTTTAATTACTTGAATATTCAGATTAATAATAGAAGAGAGAGCCAGAATATGCAAGCAAGAGGTGAATTCACTTATTCTTACATGATCATCTACTGCTCTTAAATTCAATTTTGAAATAATAAAGTCATGTCCAAAAACCCCTACTTTTCCCCCACTACATTATGTTAAAACTTGAATATTCAGATTAATAATACACAATATAATCAAGGATCTATTTATTATGGTTGAAGATAATAATCCCATGTTGAGATTCTCAAGCTACCTGGCAGTAAACCATTAAATAAACTCCTCCTTTACCAGCTGCCACATACAGGTGATGAACACAATAATTCATCAATTAGTATAATTCAGTAATATAACATGTATTCTTTTTGATATGGGCCGATTTGTAGAATAAGTACTTTTTGTTCTTCAAGTACATTTTTAAAGCTAAAACGTTCACACTTTATGTAACATTTTTCTACATAGTGAAAAATATCTCAGTACTTCGTCCACCACGTTTGAAGGAGATGCAGTTGTGATATGAATCTGTTTGTACTTTATGAAAAGCACATTTTTACACTCATTAAAGCCAGCCTTATATTACATGGGAAGGTATTTTTTTAGAACAACCACAGACTCCAAAGAACATGTCGTTTTGAGAGCATAATTGAGCCTCATGGTCTGCTCATTCTCCTCCTCTTCCTTTGTCCCCCTGTGATCTACCATCTGTTGCTGCACAGTCTCAGGCCTGTAATATGATCTGCTCCGGCCACACATCACACTCCAGTTGGCTGAACACTTTAAAGGGAGTCTCCTAGAAAAAAAATAGGAGAACAATTGGAGGTGGAGTTACAGAAACGACGTGTCACCACAGCTGTTGAGATTGTTTCCTGACAGCTGAAGTTGTGTTTTTAGCTAAAAAAGCATGTAAGAAGCTAACATATGTTTTCATTTAAGTCTGTAGGGAATGTGCAAGTGGTGGTAAAAGTTAAATTAAAATACTGTTTGTTCTGGTTTAATCTTTGTGACATTGTTTTTACAGCTGATCCAAAAGGGTTTTAAGTTTATGTATCTGCAGTAATAGGACATCTTCTTAACCTGTAAAGGAACACAAGTGACCCTTCACTTTTTTTTACAACCTTTCAAAATCAACAAGTCTTGAGATAAATGCCTTTCACTGGACAGAAAGGATAAGAGCATTTGCTGTCAGACAATTTAATTGAAGTTGCATGTTTTAGAAATACTCAAGTAAAATACAAGAACTCAAGTTCGATGAAATGTTCTAAGATACATTTCACCACTGCAAATATCCCCAAGCAGTTAGAATAAACGTAAACACGCATTGTGGAACTACTGTGAACTCTGAATAAAATCACAGTCACTGTGTGTTTTGGAGAGGAGACAATGCCTCAGGCAGGGTCTTTCACCTGTTGTTTTGTTCAACTGAATGACACACACACAGCTGAGTAATGGTTAAGCCCAACCAGGAAGTCATTCTTTTATTACAGGCTGTGTTTGAAATGGCATACTGCATAATACATCCATTGGTACGCTCTGCCTACTAAATGAAAGATTAAGTATACCAATGCCGGCCAACTGTTCACACAGTTTTTCCGTCGATCAATGAATCCTCTAATTGCTGAAGCTCTAAAATCGGGTGGATCTTATTGTTATGTAAGAGTTTCATTGATTCTCTGTTGCAAGTGAGGGATGACTTTCTGTGTTACTGGTAGAATAAGTCAAAACACGGTGATAAGGGAGGTCCAAGTGAGAGTCGGCAGTAGAACTAAAATGATACAATTTAAACGATTAGTGGATAGGCAGAAACTGAGTCTGCAAATATTTTTGATAACATTATTCATTTTGAATACATTTTTAAAGCAACATTTTCTCGCTCCAGATTCTCAAATATGAGGATTTGAATGTTATTATACATTGAATATCTTCTGGTTTTGGACTTTTGGTTGGACAAAAAATGTGTCTAGCCTCCAGGATTTTGTACAACGCATCTACATGTATAGAAAAACAAAGAATCAGAAACACAAATCGGAAAATAATTCTCAGGTACTCACAAGCGCTGTGAGTATTGCCCGTTAGAGATAAGGGAAGCACAACATATTTTAGTATCGCAGCGTGACGCAGATTTCTTCCACTGGTGTGTTTGTTTTCTGGGACCCATTTTTTCAATGTTGTGTAGGGAGCAGCTGGAGATTCACTGTGGTGCCTTGTATCACATGATGCAGCCCCAATCTCAGCCAGGTGTGTGATGATAACTGGGCCAAATATGCCAAAAAACAGACCGATGGAAAACGATCTACGGCTGTAGGGCATGTATCGGTCAATCATTGACCTGAGACTTTTAGGTTTTCCTTAACTGTGACAGAATTAGGTTGCCAAAAGTCAACCTGACACGTTGCAAGCCAATCGTTTCATTATATTGACATCACCTTGTAGTTGTTTATGTGTGATGATAGTGTAAAGAGGTCTGTTTAAACATGAACTACATTTGTAATGAGGGGTGGTTAAAGTTAAGCGGCATGGTCAAAGCAGGCTTAATGTGAGTGCATTTACATGGACATGAATCACCTGTTGAGGAGGCTTGTCCTGGTTATGTACATATCTGGGATATTGTGTTTACGTTGGCAAACACATGTAACAGGTAATCCTAGTTATTAATGCCAAAGTAAACAGTCATTGCTTGGTATTAAACTAGACTTGAGTATAATGCAAACCTGCTAATGCACATTAAGACTGCAGTTAAATTCCTCTGCTGATTAGTTTTCTGACCCTTGCGTTGATCCATTTAAATGGCTTGTTTTGTTCAATCAACTCTCCAAAACCACAGATATTCACTTTACTTCTCATGAAAGACAATAAGAACTATTTCATTCATTTGAAAAGCTCGAAGCAAAGAATATTTCGCATTGTTGTTTGAAAAAGGATGGAAATCAAAATGATTGCTGTTAAATGTTCTGGCTAATTGATCAATGTGTTCAGCTCTAATGTCCTTTACATCCTAACTCAATTAACACTGACTTAGTCACAAAAAGGATAATAGGCAGGTTATGTACTGTAAGTTGTGTTATGTTAATGTGTTTACGCACAAAGCTTTTGTTTAGTCATGGTGAGTGTGCACACTAGCTGCATCGTGGGATTAGTTTGCCATACTGTGGCTTTGTTGGAAAACATTTCAGCTTAGTGTGTTTACATTGCATGATTCAAGTTGGGGTTTAGTTTTCCTTAGACCCATCTTGCATGTTTGTCTTCTTAGCATTCAGGTTAATTAAAGAGCTATTACACAACGTCTGCTCGGTTTACAGTCGAGGCGTGTTCCTTCTGCGAGACATTTCAATTAAAAGGCAGAGATTACTCCTGCAAGACGGTGCACATTTAGAACTGACATACTGGAAAAGTGAGGTAGTCCTGATGATAGAGCTCATATCACTCCAGTAATTACGGAATCACTGCACTTAGGACTGCTTTTTGATGCACATTGTATATACACATGCTCATGTATATTTTAATGACCTCATTCAAATTGGTTTGAAGAGAATTGAGTGCATTTGATCTTGTAGTTGACCTTTTTAGTCCTGTCAATTTTCTTAGGGTAGGTCAGGGTTTTTGGGAAAAACAGGAAGCAGTGTTTGATGCATCAACAGAAAGAATACAATATATTTCAATTTAAAAGCAGGTATGAGACTAAGAATTATACATAAGCTATGTGAAGAGATAACTGTCTCAGGGCCTGGATGCAGCCTTTGACTCTAGACAAGCCTTTTGGATGATGGGTTGTGCAGTTTGTCTCCACTTATATTTCAATATCTTGACAACAAACCTGAACCCTGATACAAGGCAGGATGGATCCATGCTTTTTTGTTGTTTATGCCAAATTCTGACCCTGCCGTCCGAATGTCGCAGCAGAAATCAAGACTCATCAGATCAGGCAACATTTTTCCAATCTTCTATTGTCCAATTCTGATGAGCCCTAGCAAAGTGTAGCCTCCGTTTCCTGTTCTTAACTGACAGGAGTGGCCCCTGTATGATCCATCTGCTTCAAGGTTCCACGTGTTCTTCTGCATACCTTGGTTGTTCTTTGAGTTACTGTTGCCATTCTCCCCTGACCTCTGGCATCAACAGGACATTATCTCCCAGAGCACTGCTGCTCACTGGATATTTTCCCCTTTTCGGACCATTCTCTATAAACCCTAGAGATGGTTGTGAGTGAAAATCCAAGTAGATCAGCAGTTTCTGAAATACTCAGACCAGCCCGTCTGGTACCGACAACCATGCCACGTTCAAAGTCACTTAAATCACCTTTCTTCCCCGCTCTGATGCTGTTTGAACTTCACCAGGTCGTCTTGACCATGTCTACATGCCAAAATGCATTGAGTTGCTGCCATGTGATTGGCTGATTTAGATATTTGCGTTAACGAGCAGTTAAACAAGTATACCTAATAAAGTGGCCAGTGAGTGTATATACTGTATATTATTTGCTTGGAAACATTGCTTTTGACCAATTATAACATGGTATGAGAAGATATAACTTCACTGAAAGTCAATGTATGACTTTGTTTCCACTTCGTTGACCCGTTAACCATCAACATCACATGAGGCAAAATCAATCAAAAGTTTAATTTGGGACAGAAGCGAAAGATTATTTGAATTATTGATTGTAACTGATCTTTTTTTGTTTGTTTTTAAAAAGTCCGAACTTATTTAAAAATATCTCCGTAACAATTTCCTGAAGCCCAAAGATAAATGAATCATTTGTCTGAGATTTATCCAAAACTAAAAGATAATCAGTGTACACTTATATCAACGAACATCTCAAACATCCCTAAAGATTGGGAAGCTGTGAGGAGGGGACTGTTTGGTATCTTGGGTTTAAAAATACTTAAATAATACAAATAATTAATAGCTACAAAGTGCTTGTACTGTCAATCATCTCATCAATTATTCAGTTCATTGTTTTGTCTCTAATTAAGAGTCTTGCTGGCTTCTTGAAGTGCAGACTCATTAGCTCACACTCACTGACCCTCTGGCTTCATTCCTTTCATCATCAACACATAGATTTGTCTATGTAAATAAAACTAAATCAGGAAATTAAAGAAACATCTGACTTAAAAGGAAGTAGTAATAGAACATCCACTCTTTATTCCAGCAATCTTTTAAAGGTTTGTAAGTGAAATAGCAAAAGAAAGCTAACACTTAGTTGCTCTGCGTAGCTAGAGTCCAGGCAGGACAGTTTTCTGAGCTATCAGCGACTGCAGGGTCAGGGAGGCGCTGTACGGGTTGGCCAGTGGTTACCACGGAGACACAGGCCCAAGGTAAACAGTAGGCGCAGTGTTCGAGCTGAATCGTGCAGTGTCTTTCCCCAACGTGGAGGGCTTTGGAAAAGCAGCCTGGAGTTAATATAAGAGTCTCTATTCATATCTATAGCTCCTTGCAGAGAGGAGAGCACTTTATCCAGCGCTTTGCTCGAAGACTGGGTGGAGGCACATTTCAATATTATCTGAGGCAGAAGTGAAGGAGCAGTATTGTGTTGTATGAAGCTGGAGCTACTGGTTTCTGAAGATGAATTGTATTTGTGTGTACAATAGCTGTTTTGATAGCAGCGTTTATCTCTGGAACAATGAGCAGTCTGTGGATAGCAGGACATATGGTACGGATAAGCAACAGTTGGGGACAATTTATTCTCATTGTACTACACTCAACAAGATATTTTATAGTATCTGACCACACACATCTTTACAGAGGAACTCACTTACGTTTAGGACCCATTGTAATCATGGATTAGAATCACTTTACAAAATGCAGTTTCCTGTGTGAAATGAGCAAAGCTAGCGTCACAACCATGGTCTTATTATAACTAGCTCCATGGAAAAGCCTTATTTGTTCTTCACCTGGCAATATGTCGAGATAATACATCAAAAGTATCTCTTTTTCTCAAAACATTTCGACTTAGTTGGATTCGTTGAAAGGAAACTTTTTGGTGTTGTTCTTCATTTTTCTTTTGTCAACAAATCCTATAAAAAAACAAACAAAACAGCTGAAACAGTCTCCAACAAATGAACTATTTACCCCTGTTTAAGTTTTCTAAAGCTAGGGGCAGCCAATGATTTGCATTATTGCTTTAATAACAGATTACTTTCTAGATTAATCATTTGGTTTATAAATTGTAAAAAAAGCGTCCAAATGTATTGAGTTTACATTGAATTATGTCTCACAAATATAGCAAATAGTCACATTTGAGAACCAGAAGCCTGTTAAAATGGAGATCATCAAAATGAATGAATGTCATTAGACAGAAATAGGCTCTGGGCTAAATCCCACAGACGGGCTCGGTGAAGTTGTTTTAAGAGGCGGACTAACGCATAATCATTATTTGTGGTCTTTCCATGGGATTTATAGACGATAAAACATCTAAAAATAACACCATCCTTGCCCTTTAAAGTCGGAGAAGACTATGTTGCTACATGTGTGTCCCTGACTGCACCAATATTCACCGCCACATCTTTTCTCCTCTTGTTTTGTCCCAGGTGCTGGATAAACACAAAGCCCTGGACAGCATGGTGGAGCTGCTGCAGGTGTACCCGGAGGAGGACGAGGCGTATGGAGAGCTGCTGGAGGCAACAACCCAGCTCTACCACTACCTGCTGCAGCCCTTCAGGGACATGAGGGAGCTGGCCATGCTGCGCAGACAGCAGATTAAGGTAATTCACACTCACACACACACACTCGCACACACGCAGATACCACTACCATCTGTTTTGGGGCTTCATTTAAGTAGGTTTAGACCTCACTGCTAACTGGTCTGTCCTGGAACACACTTTGACTGCACCAGTTAGATGCTGTTCTTTAGGTTTTAAAAGCCATGGTTAGTGCTGGGAACAAGCACCGCTGCATGGTAATGTCCTTCATGGAGCCCACTAAGCCCACTGAAATGACATTAGTTGCTGAGGATACATGTGCCGATGATGATGATGATGATGATGACGATGATGTAGCCGCTCTGTGCTACCCTGTAGATTTTCATCCGGGAGCTTCGCAGGTCAGAGGATCAGCCAGAGAGGCTTTTTTCCCTCCACCCAGAGCGGCTTAACAACCAGCATAAGTATTATTACAGCAGCCACTAAACCACTCATTCATTCTGCAGCCTCAGCACACTCTTGTTTCCACACTCTTTCTGCACTCACTTGTTGTTGTTTTCCTTTATTAGAGGCTTGAAAAGGGAAGTAAATCCTCAAGGTAATCTCTACTGTCTCATTAAGCTGGGTTCAGTCTTAACACACGCATGGTTTGGGTCAATAGGGGGGTCCTTCACACACACTGGACTACTCCTTTAACAGCTCAGCAAGAATATGTTGTATACCAAATCTATATGATCATATTGAAACAAAACTGCTGGGTGAAGGAATATTATGTTTTCTTTTACAATACAAATATTAAATTACATATTTGAATAAACAGAAATACGGCATCAGAACTACAACTACTGTCTTTGCAATTTGCTGCTGCTTGAGTTACTTGGGCGTTTAATGTATGCTGTCTGATATCATAGCGGGTATTCCTGAGAGCAAAGAACATCACTTGATAATTGCTGACGAAATGTCCCAATCATAGCCATTTTTTTTATTGAACTTCAAAATATAATGTTCTGCAGTTATAAGGAACAGGATTCTCTGTGCTTTCTGGATTTTCTGGAGCGGATTTATTAGACGATTGTTTGTGATGCACATCCGAGACGATGCTATTCTCAGAATAGTGAGTGAGTCATGCTGAATATAAAAATATGTGCTTTACGTCTGTGTGTTCAGACTTAACTTAGTGAGGACTGAATCACCTCCTGTTGCTTAAAGATGACCAGCATGCACCTGTCCTATTCATAATTAATGTATTTATTCATTAATGATTGAACTACCCGTTTGAGTCGTACTTTAAGGGGAAAAAGTTCTACAATTCTAGCTTTTTTTAATCTGAATATTCCTCATTGAGTTATGAAAGCACAGCACTAACTAGCCAACCAACCGATTTAATGACAATGTAAATATTAGGTTCCACTGAAATGAATGAGAGGTAGCATTGCATCACCAATTCCTCCTCAGTACTTCAACAACGTATTCACTGTACAACAATACAGAACCAGTCAAATACAAACAGAATAACACCTGTTATCAGACAAAACATCCCACTGTGAATATCCTCTAAGCCAATTCTTAAACGCCAGCTTGAAGCCTCCCAAGCTGCTTACGATTTTGAGATTTCCTGGCAATCTATTCCTCCACAGATGCTCCGTAGTATAGGGAGTTATTCTCCGCCACAGCCTTTGTAATTCTAATAACCACTGACTGCGTAAAGGTGTGTCCTTTCCCCTCCAAACCATTGTGTCGGAAAAATCCCACAAGAGGAGAAAGTGTAAATAACATGAGCCGAACGTCTGCATCTCGTTAGGGAGGAAATGCAGTTTGAGTCTGAGTGGATTGTGCAAGCCTTCATATTATGTTACAAAGTATTGAATGCTGTTGAACTGGACCCATGCGGTCTCTCCCTTCAGAAACCCTTTCACCCCTCTGTTTTGTTGTGAGAACTTTCCCGTCTCTGAACTACATTCCTCACACAGCATGCTCCTCCAGCATCGTGTCACTAACCAACACTAGTCACTGTGTGGGTGTGTTCTATGTGTTGGTTACAGTAGGATGGGATTAGGGTTCTTGGGTGGATGCTGATCTAAATTAGGCCTTTCACTGAATCACCAACATTTAAGGATCATCTTTCTCTAAAAACATCACCAAATCAATGAATTGATCCGACCAACAGGAATTGTGTGTTTCTTAAAGCCTGCCATATCTTCTTTGTCTGTGCCAAAGAGCTCTATTGTTGTCAAAAAACTACAAAAAACCCACATCAATGAGCCTCACTGTTGTACTGGGTGACCTGGTTCTCATTACTATGAACACACACTGTTTCTTTTTTAACTCAATTCCACATACACCGTCCAAATACTTACCAGAGCCCCATGTAGATCCTTCCACTGTTTAAAGTAGTCCCCAACAAACTATTTACTCCTTTTGAGTGACATTGTTAAAAATACTGTCCAGCTGTTTTAGCCTTTAATTAAGAAATTAAAATAAAGATTTGTGTGTGTGTTTTATATTAGAGACATTGTTTGTGTCTGTCTCTTCTTGGGATTTGCTGACAGTAAAAAAAAATAAGCATCAGATATACTAAGCTGACTGTTATTAATAATAGTTTTGATCATGATTAAATCTGCAGAATATTGTGTCAATTAATCAGTTCATCTTTTGTACTATAATATATAATAATAATATACTATAAAGTAGAATAGAGAAAGGTATTTCTGTTTTCCAAAGCCACGGTTGTCAAAACAAATCTGTCATAGAAGACCAAAAGAAGATGATTTTACAACTGAATAATCCTGAAATATCTTGTTATATTAATAATAATGCTGATATTGTTAAAGATGTATCAGAAATATATTCATAATTTATGGAAAACCACCCAGAGATCCATCTTATTTCCTTTGTGCAGACGTCCCTTTCCAACTAGTGGATTCATATTTGAAAACAGTGGGCCTTTAGGAGGCAGAGAGGTCAAATACTTTGAAGTTGCATTATGGGATTTTAGTACACTGTGTTTTTGGAGCTTACTAGAGGCTACAAGGCAGGATATCCAGACCTACGTATCTTGTAGGTCCCCTAACAGATGGTAGAAGTCTCATTTACCTGAAGACCTGAGGTGTACCTTCCCCCAACCCTTAGCTTTTTCTGTCTGAGAATCTGAACTCCACACATTGCCAACGTTTTCAGCTCCAACACCTGCTCCCCTCAGGGCGATCCAACGGCTGAAAACAAAGCTGTATGCAAATGAATCCTTGATGCCAGCGTTGGTTGGTTTCTTCCAGACTGATGAGTCAGGAGACTAACAAATCCTATGCGTAATGAGAAAGAAGAAAGGGAAGTAGAGCAGGTCAGGTACTTTAATTTACATGCAGTTTGCATCCGACTTAATGTCACAAAGGTGATGTGAAAAGCCTCAGAGCAACCGAGTATCAGCAGCTTGATAGAGTTACAAGCTCTCCTGACTTTATCTGCAAGTGTGAATACACACGGACATTTGTGAGGATGTTGCAAAGCCTCAACAGTGCAATCAAATGGGTCAAACAGTAGAGCAAATGTTGTAGTGGAGGAGTTCTGTGTTTGCTTGTGTTGATATTTTAGTGCTGTCGTTGTATTCAGATGCTTCTCAGACTGACTTTAGCAGTAGGGTTCTATTAGGGACATTTTTATTACAGAACTATATTGTTTCAAAACATATTTTGATCTATACAATTACAAAAAATAACCTAAAGATCGGTTATATATTTAAGCAATAGCTCACGACAGGCCGTGCTATATGCTCATTATATCACAGCTAAGGGGCGTGGTTCGGCCCGACGCGAAGCGGAGGGTCGAACCACGTCATGTTGCCGTTTATTCACCACGTCACCACGTCATGTTGCCGTTTATTGTGCACCCACTGAAAAACTGTCCAGCATCAGCAGCATGGCTTACGTGGTTACTTGTATAGGCTGAGGTTGTTCTAGGCTGTTGCTTGGTGTGGCGAGAATATTGCTCCACTTTCTCCGGTCCCCGAGATTCGGCTTCCAGTAGCTCTGGAGAGAGCTTTCGCACCTGTGGCCACTAACGGTCATAATTTCTCTGCTTTGTTTCAAGACCCGCATCAGAAAGCTTTTGAATGGTGATACTTTTCCAGTTGGTCGACCTGCTCTTCACGTAGCTCTACATGTCGTCGTTTAGGTGCTTTTGTGCTTAAATGTTTTTGCGGACCTTTTTGATTACAGATTTGAAAACATCGTTGCTCGCTTTAAAAGTAGCACAATTCATTATGTCAAACCTTGGAAAGTATCTAAATATCCCTGCCCTAATGCCAAAGGAACTGCACACTGAATATGTTTTTGCCGTTTGATGTCTATGTCTGGACCATTGCGTAAAAAGGAGGGTTTCTGCCCCGTTACTTCTCCGCTGCTTTCTTGTTCCAGTTTGAAAAGCAAACTGCAGCCCAACTGTATACTGTTTATCTCAGACGCGGAGGGATACTGAGTTGTTGTGAAAAGTAACTTACAATTCTACCCGTGGTATACGCTCAGTATACCACGGCTAAGAACCAATCAGATTGCTTGATTTTACTTGTCCGTTTTATAATCATTTTTCCATTACATTCTATAACATGTTTTTATGGGGTATTTCTTTTTCATTCTACTCTTAAAAAAGTGCTGTTAAAAAAACTGTGTTATTGCTTAAATCAGGGGTTTTCAAAGTGTGGGAAGGTGAGCCTCCCCTCAGAGAACATATGAACAGCCGCGCCCCCCCCTCCCAATTATTATTGCTATTATTATTATTATTATTATTGTTGTTGTTGCTATAATGCAGGGGTATTAAATTGCATTTCAAAGAGGTCCAGTAAGAGAACATGTCATTAAATGCTCTGTTTTCGCTGTCTACCTTCCGCCATTTGAAATTATTCCGACTGTTTCTCTCCTCTTGTCTCGTCTCTGTGAGTGTGTTTGAATCTATCGTGCTGACTCACTGACTGCACCGATTTCATTGGCTGAGTAGCGTCACCTCCTTAAAACATTAAACAATCACTTTTTAAAACCTTTTTATCTTTATGTTTTAAACATATTGTATAAAAC